CCGTTGTGGCTGAAACCACCACCATCCTTGCTTTCTATAGCGAATATCTCATCGATATGGATAATTTCCCGGTTATTGGAGAACCGGAGGTGGAAGGGGGAGGAGATGGCGGTGCAAGGCGGAGGCGTAAGGGGAGAGTGATTGCGGCGGTCTGTTTAACGCTAGTTGCCGCCCTTCACCATGGAATCGCAGGGAAGGAAGATGCGTTAAGAAAAATGGGGAAGATCGTGAGACAACGTCGGGCGGGGAAAGAAACGGGAGAGAGGTGGGGGGCTGGTTGAGAGAAAATGGCGAGGAAAAAAATAGGGTTTGTTATTTGAATTAAGGGTAATACAGGTATACCACTAAAAATTCGGATTTATGTTAAACTAAAATATGGAATAAGGGGGTTTTCACTAATATGTAAAATAGGGGTGTAGTCATTCTTATTTAACTTAATGTGTTAGGGGGTTTTCACTAATAATCCCTAAAATAAATATATGATTATTATGTCAAGAAAAAGGGAATAATTTTGAGAAAAAAATAAATTAAAGAGAAGTGGGAGGAAAAATGGGTAGAGAGAGAAATATTTAATTTGTGTGCCGGATTCAGTAACTTCTAGGATTTAGCACGCCCCATTACAAAATAATATATATATATATATGCAGGGCGGGGACTGGGCGGGTCTGCGAGGCGGGTATATACAAACCCGCACCCGTGCCGAACCCGCCCCATTTATTTGCGGGGCGAGTATTACCCAAAAATTTCGGGGTGAGTACCCGCCTGCGGGTAGAAATTACCGTCCCTAATAATACCAAGCATTCATGCAAAAAATTAGAATTTTAAAAACATTTAAATCTTCAAATCTTAGAATAATATTATTGATTCGTTTATAGCCTACTTATTTCACAAATGAGTTTTATTGACATATTATAAATTGGCAAATGGCAAATAGGCTCATGACAAGGGCACTTAATTAAAAGAGGGACATCCAATTTTTTTGTCTTTCAAATAAATCCAGCTCATTCAAACTTATTTGCAAATAAGGAAAATGGGATAATTACACTTTTGGTCCCTCATGTTTGGCTCGATTCCACTTTTGGTCCCCCTTGTTCCAAAGTGAACAAAGTTCACCTCCATGTTTCTATTTTACACACTTTTCGTCCATTCCGTCATATAGGTGTTAGAAACTAACAGAAACACTATTTTAGGGGAAAAAATGAAATTTAATATTGTTTTGGGGTTAGATATATGTTTTAAGCAATTATTAAAAAAGACATAAAACAAAAAACAAAAAACAAAAAGATGAAATGCGTTTCTTCTCTCCGTCAAACCATCTTCTTCCCCGACATGCCCAGCCGCCGCCGCCGCCGCCACCTCCACCGCCGACGACGACGAAATTTGTTCAGATCCGCTCATCCTCCCTCGGCCATCAATTCATGTAGGAGGTTTGGGGTAAGATTAATGCTTTAAAAAAATGTTGATTTAATTGTAGACTTTATTCATAGATAAATTGCAATTAATGCTGGAGTTTTGATGGGTTTTTGTTTCGAGAAATGGGGGTTTAGGTTATTAATTTTTCAGCCTCTGACTTGTTGATGGTTTGATGGAGGACGTCGGTGGGGAGGCCTAGGTAGGTGCCGTCGCGTCCCGTACTCCCGTGGCTGCCCAAATCGATGGCGGCGAAGACGGAGGTCGTTATTTTGGTTATGTCGGTGGCTTTGGTGGAGAATTTGGAGAAGTGTTTGACGGCAGCGATTTGGTCGAGCTCCTGGAAGTCGCCGCGGCCGGTGAAATTCTGGAAGGAGGAGCCGGAGATCATGACCATGGGCCAGGCGTTGGCGGCGAAGTTGGAAACACCGGTGAGGCCTTGGATGCAGCTCGGACCGCAGATGGTAAAGAGGAAACTGGGGTATGCTGAGGCGGCGTAGATGTTTGTGGGTTCTTCTTGTTGTCGGCGTTCACCATCGATATCGAAACAACTATAGAATAATAGATTTATTTATATTTAGCATTTTATTTGTTCAAATTGAATTATTTAGTTTTTTTTCTAATGTATTAATATCTAATATATATATATTTTGCATTTGTTTTTTAAAATTAAAATATTATTCAATTTTTTTTAATGTATTTATATTTTATATATATATATTTTGCATTTTGTATTTTTTTTTTTTGTGAAAATTAAATATTATTCATTTTTTTATACTTCATATTTTTCATATTGTAAAAAAATTAATTACAAATAGTACTTTAAATTTACAATTGTTTTGTAGCCCCAAAATAATATTAAATTTCATTTTTACCCCTAAAATAGTGTTTTCTGTTAGTTTCTAACGCCTATATGACGTAGTGGACGAAAAGTGTGTAAAATCGAAACATGGAGGTGAACTTTGTTCACTTTGAAACAAGGGGGACCAAAAGTGGAATCGGGCCAAACATGAGGGACCAAAAGTGTAATTATCCCTAAGGAAAATCCATTTATATATACCAAAATTACCCCCAATTAGGGGTAAGTTGGAACGGATTTTCCAATTTCCGCCGGTTCCAATCCGAAAAGTTCCGATTTTGGAAAAACTTTTTTCATTCCGACTTCCGAAATTCCGATTTACGAATTTTTCCGATTTTTTTGAATTGGAATTGGAATTATATAAAATAAATTTGGAATTTCCGATTTCCGATCCGATTTAATTCCGAAATTAATTCCGAAAACTTCCGATTTTTTTTTCCGAAAAATACACCTATAAATAGTATATATTATATAATACTTATTTTCCGAAAAATACACCTATAAGTTTTGTTTTAGGATTGTGACATAATGAATTGTTGTTAGAAGTTTTATTGGATATTATGCAATGTTTATTTTTATTTATTTTTTTGAACTGAAATTTAGTAGTTATTAGTTTTACTTTTATCGACGTGGATATTCTTCTTTTCGAAAAATTATGAACATTTTAGAAAATTTCGGCTTCGTTTTGAAATTTTAAAGCTTATGTGATTTCCGATTTTTTTTCCGAAATTCCGAAATTTCCGGGCCTTTTGGAATTGGAATGAATAGTTAGATTCCGAAAATTTTGGAATTGGAATTGGAATTGATTTTGTACTTCCGAATTTTTTTGGAAATTTTCCGAAAAGGCTAATTCCGATCCGATCCATCCGACTTTCACCCCCACCCCCAATTCATTGAAATATTTCAATTCCAATTTCATGATTTACACCCCAATTTAGCCCAATTTCATCAATTAACCAATTTTAACCATAATTTCAATTTTAACCCCAATTTTGACCCGCCACCACCGGAGACCGCCAGTCGCCACCGTTGACCGGCGTTGACTTTTTTTTGTTTTTTTTTGTTTTTTCTTAAAAATATTTTTTTTAATTAATATTACTGTCTTGGCTGCTAAATTACTGTCTCCGGCAGTTATTTAACTGTCGGAGACAGTAATTTAACAATTAATTGACTTTTTTTTTTCTTCAAAAATATTTTAATTAATATTACTGTCTTTGCTACTAAATTACTGTCTCCGGCAGTTATTTAACTGTCGGAGACAGTAATTTAACTGTTAATTGACTTTTTTTAAAAATATTTTAATTAATATTACTGTACTCGTTGCTAAATTACTGTCTCCGACAGTTATTTAACTGTCGGAGAGAGTAATTTAACTGTTAATTGACTTTTTTTAAAAATATTTTAATTAATATTACTGTACTCGTTGCTAAATTACTGTCCCCGGCAGTTATTTAACTGTCGGAGACACTAATTTAACTGTTAATTGACTTTTTTATTCTTAAAAAAAATATTTTTAATTAATATTATTGTATTCGTTGCCAAATTACTGTCTCCAGCAGTTATTTAACTGTCGGAGACAGTAATTTAACTGTTAATTGACTTTTTCTTTTTTTTTTAAAATTTTTTTTGTCGTGTTGTGGTGAAAAGAAACACGAGACAATCAATTAACACATCAAAACATCCTAGCTAATACGTAGTAACGGAAAAAGTACAGTTTCCCATCGATCTCATATTTAGTCGCTCGTGTTAACAAAAAACACATTTGATCCGTCATTTTTCTTAAATACAACACTTTTAGTCTTTTCCGTTATTTTTTCGTTAAAACTAATGGAATCAAACGTGTATGCATCACTGCTTTAACTAAGAGGCTAACTGTAAATTGACGAAAAAAACTAAATATTTTAAATTGGTGCAAAGTGGAAAGTATATAAATACCTTGGTTTCGTACTCAACGCCGGGTTTGCTCAAGAACTGAGCCTTGAGCTTCTCCGTCTGAGTCAAGGCGTTCATTTCCTCGACCTCCTTGTGCAACTCAGCATCCCTCAAAGCCACCGCCTTGTTACCCTCAATCTCCGCCACCTGCGCCTTCTTCTTCGCCTCCGCCACGTCAACCTTCGCCTGATTCGCCGCCTCCATCTAGATAGGAAAAGTACTCATGACCAGGTACATCCACCAGCTGCTTCACGTTTGCGCGGCCAGAACTCGAGTCTCTCCTTCGATAATTCCCTGCATGTTGTGGCATGAGATGAGCTTGGCGTACTTGAAGAGGCGCGAGTTTGATGTCGATGATTCCCACGCCGGTCACCACCAGGTACTCCGATGCTTTAGCAACTCTGTACATACTGATTGATTTGGTGTGACAAAATTAGCAGCCCAACTGTTTGATGAATTGTCTGAGTGAACAACGAACAAGGTTCTGTTAGATTTGAGTTTGTTGGTGGTGTTTACTATTTTGATAAGAATTTTTCCACCTTTTATTTCGTATATGATCTGTAAACATTCATTTTTGTTGTGTATCAAACACATAATATCTAGATTGCCGGAAATTAAATGTTACACCCGATTATTTAAATTGGGTGGATAAGAACCGTAGATCTACACACACCCGAAAGTTTGTTTGTTATCGATGAATATTAACGAACAAATAGAGAATAGAGATTAATCATGAAGAAAAATAAAGCTATTTAATTTGATTGCTAATAAATATTTATAGGAAATAAGAAAAAAAAAAATGACAGAAAGCAATTGTTAATTAAACATGAAAAGAAAAGCACCTAAATTATACCTAATTAATATATAGCTATGTCCATACTGAACTGTTGATATGATGATATCAATTGTTTGACGTAGAGTCGTCGGTCAAAGTGCCCATCCATGAAGGCGGTAGCATGCCAGTCTGCTCATTAACAGTCTTGAATAGCGGCGGCAGCATCTTGTAAACGCCGGCAACTTCCTGCATCGCACTATTGCCGCCACCATCACCGCTTCCACTTCCGTTAGTCCAAATGCTGATCTTGGGCTGGAGCCCACGCACAGCGTCGGAGTTAATCTTGGCTATATCCTGGTACATACCGCCGGAGATCATCAAGTAATCCCTCAACGCCGCGTAGTTTCCGCCCATTGCATCGAGAAGTGTACGTATGTAAGTGCCCTGAGCTTCGGCAAGTGCTTTCAGCCCTTCAGCTTCCTTCATCTTTGCGTACAAATCACCGTCCACCACTTGTTTCCGCTGGTAAAAAGAAGCATCCGCTACTGCTTTCTGTGCCTGTGCCTCCTTCTCCTTCTCGTACAGGTACGCTTCTGCCGCTTTTTGTTTCTTGTAAAGCTCCCAATTCGCCTCTTGGACCTTTTATTTGTTACAATAAACAAGATAATCAATTAATCAGGACAACAAAAAATATATACAAGATTAGATAGGTTCGAATTTGAATTATTCGTTATCGAAAAAATAAATAATTATGTTAAAAAAATTGGAAATTAAATTGAAACTTTTTGTTCCAAAATCGGGAATTTTCGGACCGGTGGGTTTTGAAAAATTCTAAATTTTCTTAATCACCTAAAATATAAAATACATACTAATATATTGATAATATAAGTACGAATTTTCGTAATTATTTTTGAAATTGAATTATGTTCTAATTATCATCACTACTAGCAAATTAAATTGTAGAGATGAGAGGTTAATTCAGCAATACTAATAAAAAGAAAGATATATATACCTTTGTTTCGTATTCGACGCCAGCTTTGCTCAAAAACTGAGCCTTGAGCTTCTCCGTCTGAGTCATGGCGTTCATCTTTTCGACCTCCCTCTGCAACTCAGCATCCCTCAAAGCAACAGCCTTGTTTGCCTCAACCTCCGCCACCTGCGCCTCCTTCGCCCAACCGGCCTTCTTCTTCGCCAGCTCAGCATTCGCCTCCGCCACCTCAGCCTCCCTCTGATTCTCAAATACCTTGACCTCAGTCCTCACCTTTATCTCCTCCTTCTTCCCTTCTCCCTGCCTTTGCGTAGACGCAATCTTCGTCTCTGCATCAATCGCCGCCGCATTCCTAAGTGTCTCCCCCTCCCTCAGCTTCGACCCCAAATCCCCCTTCATCTTCGCCTCCGCCACGTCAACCTTCGCCTGATTCGCCGCCTCCATCTGAG